CTGAAATTTTGAGGTTATGTTCCCCGTCCACATATAACTCAAAGATTTCAAATTCAGCCCCCAGGTTTACCTGGTTCTCACGCACAACCCCGTGAAATTTTTTGGCGGGAAAACTGCTAACTCAGGAGCTAGCAAGTCTGGGAAGCTGGGATTTTCAGGGAATGTCCTCAGCTCATGTACGACTTAAAGCTATCAAATTCAGCCCCCAGGCATGCGTGGTTCTCGTGTACTGGCCTTAAACTTTTGGCGGAAAATTACTCATTGAAAAGCTGAGCCATTTTCAAATAAAAGTGACCGCTAAACGGAAATTGTTTATTTCCTTTTATGCAAAATTTACGATGATTTACGGTATTTAGCGCACAAGGTAGGTGTGAAGAAACAACCGTTCATGCAGTGAACCTAATTACTTCAAATCTGGTGCAAAAACGCATTATTGCACCGGCTCGCCTGGTGCGTTCCAACCTAGATCACCGGCGCAACACTTTCGTCCCAGACCAACTTCCCTTTCCTTTCCATGCAGAAAAAGGCCAAAAACACAGCTGATATGAGCCCAAGTGTTCAATTATGGCGCAGGGACCATTCTTGCTTTTAACGACCTGCAACCTTGCCGCAAAAACATATGATCCCGCCGGCAAGTCTAGTGCGCTGCAGCTTGGGTTTAGTAACATACATTCATTGTTTGGATAGTGCGGTAAGCAACAGGATTACGCGACACCTTTAGCAGTGGCCCAGTGTAGCTCTGCATCCAAAATCTGACCCCGTCGGGACGTATAAAATGGATGACTACTACCACAACTCCTTTTGCGGATGGCTGTTGTCGCAGGCGCACGGAAACGGTTCACGAATATGTGAGTGACGAGAAATAGCAAAGCTCGCAGTTCTCGTGAGAAAAATGGATGGTAGTGAAGTTGAAAACGGATGATAATGTTAGTGTGACATTGTTGGACGAGATGGTGATGATGAAAATGTTGATGCTAATGTGATGGTAAGAGAACTGATGATTAATTTTCGGAAGGTCAGGTACAGCTGTATTTCGGGCCTGGAATGCTGGTCTTTTGTAGGGAAGTCTTTGGAAGAGGGGGAAGTCCGTAATATTAATTTACTTGCCAAAAGCGAGAAAAGTATGCCAGTTAGCTTTACATTCTGGAAAAGACAAGATTAATGAGTAAAGTGGCAGGTAGTTGGACCCCAAAATTACTTTCAGTACCCGTAAAAATCCCAAAAACAGACCCATTCTGATAACTGCATTTCTAATTCGCAATTTTACACTTCCAAATGTATTTTCGTGACATTCGTTTAAAATTTTCCGTTTTCTTTTGGGTTAAAAACGCTTGTCAATGCGATGATCGCAGTCACAGCAAAAACCACAACGACAGTATGAACTGTGCAACGACTTGCCACTGTGAAGTAATAGCTGATCGAAGTATATATTACAGTGTGTACATTTAAAAACAGTAGATATGTCGGCATGATCATTTCTCACTTCTCAGTGAGAATAACACCGGACGGGACAAATAAGGAAGAAAATAAGGCACAGCATACAGCAGCTGAAGGTCACTTTGTTGCTGCTTGGCGACACGACGCGTTCCTAGCTGCTTCCTGATTTCACTTTTGCCCGCGTCTCCTCGTCCATCAGCTCGAACACACCACACACTTTATTGGCCGGCAACGACTTATCTGCAATAGCAGCAACTATTGTGCATTTTCATAAGTAAGAGCCAGAAGAAACTTGCCAATTATACCGCTGTTTCTACAATGACACAGGAGCTGGTCGAAGTCAAAATCAATAGTTAAAACCCACACGGTACCACCCTTTGTGAGAGGCAGGAGCTATACCAATTCATACAACATGCCAAAAGTAGCCACTCGCCAACAAGGCTGCTGATGGCAGTCTTTCGAGGATTAACAGAAGAATGCTTGTGGCGGGCTGATCATAGAGCCTTGAGCATCATCGGTAGAGTTTTGACCGTTTTATATAAAAGCAAATGATTTGGCTAACCGATTTGCTTGGGATAAGCGAGTTTAAGATTCTTCATGATCTCAACAAATTCGTCCAAGCTTTTCGTCAATCTCGGATTATATTTCTTCTCCTCGCCAACTGAAGTTTGCAACAATCCCTGTCAAGATTAAGCAAATTATTCGTATGTTGCTAATCCTTTTTAACTTCAGTTATAGTCTCTATCGTCATTCATCATTATCACACCGAATTTTATGCTGTCACGCGAACTCATTTTAGATTTATCATAATTTTCGATCACTGTGCGCTGGGCCTCATCAAGTCCATACAAGTCAAAAGTGTTAAACAAACATTAGAATCAGCAATATGTTGGACAGAATATCTTAGCAAAACAAGCAAAGAAGTCTGTCAGCTGCAAGAGGGTTTCTATGATCAGAGAATACTAACAAGGATGAACTTTGGATACCTTATAGTCGTGTCCTGGATATAACAGGAAGTCGTCGGGTAAAGTGAAAATTTTTTCGTGAATTGATTTGTATAGTGTTTTCGAGTTGCCTGGAAATAGTAACTCTTTGATTGCACTTCACTCTGTACAATAATGGGACCGATAACAAAAGAAGTCACCGAAAATGGCCAGAACTTTTGAAATACGCCATCCAGTGTTATTGGAATGGAATTACTTTGTAGACAACCTGCGACTGCGAGTTTGATCACTGTTACCCTTATAGCATTCAGTTCTGTTTCATGGTAGGTCCTTTGCCGCGACTGAGTTAGAGACCAAATTTCGTTAGAAGCAATCCAGAACAAAACATGATCTGGAGGTAAAAAAAGAACAACCTTGCTGAAAATCTGTGCGTCCGCAGCCACGTATAAGAAGCGCGTCACCAGTAAATGCCATACGGTAATCGTGAGACACATATGTTAGACATCCTTTAAAACAAGTCAGACATATCAGCAAATTCTCATTTCTCAAAACCATGGTCTAGGGATGGCAGAACTCGAGACAGTTGGCAATGCTCAACGCACACCAGTGACATCTCAAAACGACTAAGCCTTATAAAAGAGCTTTTGATGGGAAAACTACCGAGTAAATAATCTGTCCAGGAATAAAACGAACGTCAGAACCATCCGCAGACAGCTATCCACTGCCAGCGCAATAATGGTCAAGGAATATTGATCAAGGACTGGGAAAGCTGACAGCTAAAGAATACGAAATAGAGTGCACCAAAGTGATAATGATGATCAAAACGAAATCCGTACCATCAGTATGACCTGGCGTTGTTCGAACCTCGAGGCTGTTTTTGCCAAATTTCAAAAGTTCCCGGTCATCCACAAGCACATCAGCTTTGCCACCGCTGAATTTCGACAACACCGACTGCATCTTTGGGAAAATGCGCTTCAGCTCGCCAGTGCCCGTGACGTGATCTGCATGGACATGCGTGTTGGCGCCATAGATAGGATCCAAATGTAGCTCCTTGATAAGCTAAAACTACAGGGAATACCTGTAGCAACTGCAACTTGTTAAATACCATTCACTGGACAATTCGGAAAACTGAACGATAAGCAAAAGAGCTGTTTTTATGAATACGCGACCCTTCCTTTTCGAACAAATCCACTGTAAGAGGTGCCCTTGCAAACTTATTAAAATACTTGCATCAGCAGCAGTTCACAGTCTGTTCTCCAACAATGCAACTGTTTTGACCAATTCTGCATCCCTAGTAGTCAGCCTGGTGACGCGTTGACGTTAATTTCATCTTTTGAAGGGACTATCAGCTTCACCATTCTTCCAGCAAAAGCAACTGGCAATGCTCTAACCGTTCCCAGATGACCTTGGTGGGTGTTGAGCAACACCACCTTTTCTTAAACGTTGCCAGTTCTAGACCACGATGGTACCTTGCCAATTAGGAACGAACAAACTGACTATGATGTAATTTTCTTCTTTTTTATGCGTTTTGTGCTGTGTAACAGCAGTACAAAACGCATATTGTTACGGGGTTGTCTG